TTTTTTTTTTTTTTTTTTTGAGAGGTGGGTATCACTGTTTTGCAAAGACTGGCCCCAAACTCCTGGGCTCAATTAATATTCCTGCTTTGGTTTCCTGAGGCATTTGCTGCGCTGGCTACATTGAACTTTTTATGAACATAGTATTTCTTTTTCCTTTTTTCTTTTGGCAGAACTGGGGATTGAACTCAGGCCCTTGAGCTTGGCAGGGAAGCACTTACTCCACTGAGCTATCTCCCCGGCCCCCAGTATTTCTTTTTCTTTTTCTTTTTTTTAGGGAAGGAAAGGTTTATTTAGCTCACAGTTACTGGAGGTTTCAGTCCATATTCAGCTGGGTCCAAGGCAGAGCAGCACATAGCAGAAAGCAACCTTTCATGGCAGTGGCAAAGAGCAAGAGCAAAGGGAGAAGTAGCAGCAGCTCAAGCAGCTGACTTCTCTTTCTGAAGAACATAGTATTTCTTTATGAACACATATGTAGGTGTTTGTTTGTTTGTTTGTTTGTTTGTTTTGGCCGGCTCAGCCCGCCCTGGGGGAGGGGTTTGCACAGCATGTGGTGCTGGAGATTGAACCCAGGCGCCCTCGACCTGCCTAAGCTTGCCTGAGCAGGCACTTTAGACTGCTGAGATATCTCACCAGCCCTATACTTTTAAAAAAAAATACAAATGAAATTATACTTTACCTACCCTTCTGCACTCCATTTCTTTAGTCATCTAGTTTCATCTTTACATTTAAGAAATTTTCATATCCAATATCTTTCAGACCGTGGTCACATTTTTCCATTTGGTTTTAAAATATCCTTTACTTTTGCAAATCAATATCCAGTTTAGAACCATTTATTAATCATAATCCTCCTTTTTTCAAAATGATGTGATGAGGGCTGGCCAGATAGCTCAGCTCAGTGGATTAAAGCATCTGCTTAGGCAGACGCAGGGGCAGGGGTCAGATCCCCAGCCTGCTATGCCGGCCCTACCCCCAGGACATGCAGAGACTGAGATTGAGACTGGGGGTGGTGGCATGCACCTGTAATCCCAGCATTTGGGAGGCCGAAACAGAAGGATCACCATGAGTCCGATCTGTGTAGTAAGATCCTGTAGACCCGTACTAAATACATTTTTTAAAAAATGTGATGTTGAAAGATTAAACCATATTTTATAATATGCAGCATCTTACTTTCTGGAAGGGTCCTGAATGAGTTGCCTTCTTGTCATTTTCTGAAGCAGTTATAGAAGTCTTTTGTGTCTTTAGTTATGTTGTTGTGAGTACCTCAGTGCCTGAATCACTTACTTTTCACTGTCATTTTGACTTTGTAGAAGAGCTAGAAATTTAACATTGCTAGATATAATTGATGTTTTGGGGAGCTGGCTGGCACACAGCAATGGCATTCACTGTATTTTTTTATTGTATCTTGGAAAACAATTTAATACAGGACATATAATTTATAAGATTATTTTATAGTAGTTACCCAAAGAGTCTTCTTTGTACAAAAGAGTGTAGAAAGTCTGTCCACACACTAAAGACCCAAAGAATCCAGCTGAGGGCTTGGCTCCCTCAGAAATGTCCTACACGAGTCCAGCTGAAGACCTAGAGTCCATCACAACCCCCCCCCTCCCCATGTCTATCTGGAGGCTGAGAGTCCACAACAATGTCTCATGCAGGCCCATTTCAAGGATCTGCACAGGAAAGGCCCCAAGGTCAGTGGTGGAAGAGAGAAAGTCTATACCAGTGGGATGAAGATGTCTCCCACAGGCTGAGGGATCTGTGCTAGAACCAGGAAGGAATGCTCAAAGTAAGGACCAGAGCACCCCCCAAGTGAACCATAGCCATTCTCAGTGACAAAAAGTTTGTCCCGAGCTCTTGTGATGAGAATGGCCCGGGGATAAAGGATCTGTGCCAGCATGCTGAGGGATCACTAGAGCCAAGAAGCAATACTCAAGAACCAGAGCTTCCCTTAAAAGTACCACAGCCATCCTCAGCAACAGTGAGGACCTGAGCTCTTCTGATGATAACAGCAGCCAAGTTCCTATCAGGAGAGCCAACAGCACCACCTCTTCCTCTCCAGTTCTCCTTTTTATGCTGTTGGCAACAATCCTCTGGTGGTCTTCCATACCCAGCAAAGCACCACACTGATTCAGTTCAGCTGGGTGTTACAAATTGACCACCAGTTGTTGAGAAACATTTTTGGTTTTTTTTTTTTTTTTTGACTGGCTCAAGCTGCCTTAAGGGTGTGTTG